GTGTGATGGGCCCGAGACTGGCGGGGCCCTCCTGCCGGTGGGGCGAGACTGACCCGGGTCACACACAGCCTGAGCCGCCACTCTCCACCCGCTGGCAAGAGCATGCCGCCTCATGGCAAGGGAGAGCCCTGCTGTAGCCACACAGGCCCGGCGGTGCCCAGGCCCTGACCAGCCCCTGCTGTCCAGCTGTGCGGTGGACGAGCCGGGGAAGGACGTCAGCAGGGCGGCTCCGCGGCCCAGTGTCCTACAGCCAGTGCCTGCGGCATCACCCGGGCCTGGCATCCTGACAGCTCCACAGCCCCCAGCACACGGCACTCGCGCAGGCTGGGAGCGGCTGGCCCAGCATCTGCCGCCCTGCATGCTGGGCACACCAGTGTCCCTCGTCCAGGTGTTGAGCCCTTTGGCTAGCATTGCCCAAGTGACAGCCTGAGAATTGAGGGAGCTCCTGCTCCGTGTGTGAAGAAATGAAACGTGAGGTGGTAGGAATCAGGAAGGCTTCCTGGAGGTAGCTGCATTCTAGTTCACACCCGAGGATTGACTAGTGATGAGCCAACCAAAGAGGAGGGGGCAGGAGGTGTGTTCCAGCCAAGGGACCAGCCAGGGCAGAGGCCTTGTTGTGAGAGGCTGAATGGAGACCATTGTGGCCAGGGTGTGTGGGCCGCGAGGGGAGGGCAGGGTGCCCTGGATGCGGGCAGCAGAGGCCAGAGAACTCGAGGACGAGGGCCGGGCAGGGATGGGCAGCGAGGGCTACGCGATGCCTCAAGTCCCAGCGAGCTCCACTCCTCTGTCCTAGAGGTTGGTAGCATTCCTTCTGCAGGGACTGGGGGAGACCAGCACAGCCCGCAGCTCACAGCCAGGAGCGCAAACCCAGACTGGTCCCTCCGTCCCATCGCTGGTCCCTCCAGGGCCCGGGGAGCCGGGGTGTTCAGGAGCTGCAGGGGTGGGGGGGCTCGGCCCACTCTGTCCTGGTGTCGGACACACCAGCCTCGTAGCACCTGGCTGAGGGGCCACCTGTCCCTGGGGCTGCCTGTGGCTCGCCGGGGACTCCACCCCCTGGGAATGCTGGCTCCACCCACATACTGCTGGCTCCGCCTCCGGGGGCCCCCTGCACCCGTGTCTCACTCTCTCAGCAGCCAACCCCTTCCCTGCTTCTGGTTCACCGCGACCCCCTTCTCAGAGCCCTCCCTAGACCTAGGCCTTACCGACTTTTTGTCCCTGCCCCTCCCCACTCTGCCCAGCCGTACGGTCTCCTCTCCTCGCTGTTCCCTAACACTCCAGGCACGTCCCGCCCCAGGGCCTTTGCACAGCTGTGCGCCCGCCTGGACCGCCTGGGAGCAGCAGTGGCGTGGGCAAGCGCTGGACACCGGTGGGCCCTCTTTGGCTCTCTGCAGGGGCTTGGCCTGGCCCCGTCTTCCTCGTCTCTGTCCCTCAGCTTTCCCCCAAGGCTGACTTTGTTTTCTACCTGTTCTGTTATTGTTTATTAATTCGCATTTTTAAAAATACAACAGCCACGTGACCAGCAGTTAGCACAATGGCTATGTCACTGGACTCCCACGTAGTCGACCGCGGTTCGCGTCCCGGACCCGGTGGCTTAAAACTCATGCCGGGTGCGTGTGCGTGCGTGCCCAAGATCCTGAGAGGAGAATGGAGGAGAAGGGATTGCGGCGTGGCCATCCCCCCTGGGGGTGATTTCTCGCTTTCTCTCTCCTCTCTCTCTGCATTTCTGGCGAGAGTACGTGCCCTAAAATAAAATAATAATAATTTTTTAAAAAAAAGAGCGCTGGGTCCTGCATGGCCGGCCACAGTTGGAGCCCTGGACCTGAGCCTGGGGGCCCGAAAACCATCCTGGGGGCGACAGAGGAGGGGACCGCAGTGTGGCCATCCCGGGGTGATTTCTCATGTCCCCTCCCTGTGTCTCTGGTGAGCGCATGTGTCCTATGGAAACAGAGCAGGCAGGATCCACTAAAGGGGTCACAGTCTGGGGGGATGGTGAGGATGGAGGCTCAGGTGCTGAGCAGAGGGCTGACCGGGGCGGGAGGGGACCTGGCAGCCCCTGCTGACTGCAGGTGGGTGTCTGGGTGGGCGGCTGCTTCCAGCTGGGGCACCGCGGGGAAGGGCCTTTGTCACAGCCCACTGCTCCCTGGGCCCAGGCAGCTTGCTGGAAACCCGCCCTCCCGAACCCCCATAGCCCGACAGCTCCTGCGAGGCCCAGGCCCCGTAATTGCTCCCCAGGCTCCCGGGCAGATCAGGGCGTGCCTGCAGGTGGCTCGTGAGCACCTTGCCCCCAATTAGGCCGTCTCCTCTGGGGCTGACCAGGGCCCGGCTGGCCGCGGTCACCGGAGACCAGCTGGGCCTCAGCAAACAAGCAGGCAGCTGGCACTGCCCTGTGCTCTGGGGCCACGGAGGTGCCGGACTGTGCTCGGGACTCGCGGGGCCAGGCGCCTGAGCTGCTTTTCTTCAGTTTTGGTTCTCTTTTTTAAAGAATTACTTACTTAATACTGCTTATTATTATTAAATTTGCTATAGGACACATTTACTCACCAGAGAGACAGAGACAGAGGAGAGGAGAGGGAGGGTGAGAAAGCAAGCTGCCAGGTCCAGGGCTTGAACCGCAGTCAGCCGTGTGGGAGTCCAGCACCTTAACCACCACACCCTGCTGGCCCCGTTCAGTTTTGTTTTCAAGTTGATTATTCTCCTAGGGGAGAGGGAGGGAGCGCTGGGTACCTGGACGGGGTCTCACCATGCTCTGCTCCTGCCCCAGCCACCCGGGTCACAGCCAGCTCGCCTGGCCCCTCTCGCCATGGGTATGACCCCAGGCCGCCGTGCGGCTCCGGCACCATGCAGTGGGCCGGCAGATGCCTCACGTGGTGTGTACGCAGTAGCCCAGGTCCAGGGCTTGAACCGTGCTCCGCCATGTGGTGTGGCCAGGGTTGTTTTCTAACTGCCAAAGGGTGTACGCGC